ATATATATATATACATAAAATTAATACTAAATGCGTATAACAAATACATGAAATTAATGTACTTGTATGTCACTCATGTATCTAAATGTTTAGTTTGTTGGATACGTCATATATTGATAATAGATACATCAAATTAATGAATTTATTATTTTAAGAGTAATAATTTGAAATTAATCAAATTACATTACCAAGATATCCATGTTTTTATCTTATATTAAAAATATTAATGAATTTACTATTTCAAAGAATAATAAAATGAAATTAATTATCTATGTATTTTGAAAAATCCTCAATTACTCCTCTAATTAAGGAAATAAGTTACAACCTATTAATTTAAATAAATAAATTTTTGTATCTCAATTTTAAAATTCGACAGATACATGTATCTCATGGATTCAGACTCATGTATCCTAATTATGAAATATGATAGAGGAAGTAATATTTGAAACTATTGGAAATCTTAGTTATTAAGATCTAAACTAGTGGGATTTATGTGATTTACCCTAATTAAAATGTGTGTCATTTCCAATAACAGATCTTGTCTTTTAGCCTTCAAACTGAACCACAGTTGATGTTTTTTCACGTGTGTAATGTGTTTCTATCCTTTTTTGTGATATGTCTAGTAGATCTTGAGAATATTTTGAGAAAAGAAGATAAAAAAAATTGAAAGCAAAAAATTATCTTTTTTACTTTCTTTTCTTTATTACTTAAATTTTATTTTATTAATTATATTTTACACTAATTAATTCCTAATCAATTATTAAAATTCTCTAATAATTCTATCTTCTTCGTTCCAAAATGGTAAAGAAGAAACTTTTAGCAATGCCCACCAAGAAAATTGCCCACAATCTGGGGTTGATTCGTGGAGTGGAAGAATTCTTCCATTCCAAAATGTATCCACAAGAAGGTTGCTTTAATTTCTTCCATTGATTGGCCATAAAAACTAAGTTTTCATTGTTATTTGTTGCGGCTTGTAGTTGTAAATATTTTTCAGCTTTGGACATACATTCTTTGTTATTTTTCCATGTTCTTCCTGGAGATTTCTTAATAATACTCAAAAACGTCCGCCGAAGCCCCACCAATTAAAACCTCCCAAAATTTACTCTCTTTTGAAGTAATTTATTTCTTGGTTGTTTCTTGTTATTGGTTTATTTTAAGCTTAATGGGGTGTGAAGAAGATGAGGAGGGTGGGGTGTGAAGAAGAAGAGATGCGGGGGGAGGGGTTTAAGAAATATTTTGATTCTTTTTTTTTTTTACTTTAATAATTATTTGACGCGCGTGATTTTTTTTCATTATTATTATTTTGCCATGCCAGCTTTAGGGGATAAATAAATTCATTTTTAAATAGCAGAGGTGTGTAATAGATCGTCATGATAGTTTAAACGTGTAACCGACTTTTCGATATAAGTTAAGGGGGGATCTATGCCCTTTCCCTAAAAAATATCATCACACAACTAATACAAATTGTACCCTCAAAATATAATTGCAACAAAAAATATCCTCACTACAACTTGTATTAGTTGTGTGATGATATTTTTTATTGTAATTATATTCTAATTTATGAGACCCACGCTTGATTTTTGTTAAGTGAATTGGCTATAATACATTTCATTAAAAAAATTAATATTTAAAGACCTTCATTCAGACTACAAGATCATCAACTAACATAAAAGTTAGTCTTATCATAACTAATCCTAAAACTAGCCATTTTGACTTTTATCTGAATGAAAAGGTATGATCTATCATCTATGCCAGTTTAGAAGGTTGTGCCCTGGCAAGGGTTTGGTAAATAGAGAAAACAATTTAAAACAAACAGGGAATGCACAAATTGTTCTTGGAAATCTACATATTTTACTTGTCTTGACGTTTATGATTTACCTATAATTATCTTTCTGGGCATGTCAAGAATAAAATTTTGTGTGCATACCTTAAGCAAAATGGCATCCGCACGAGGAATAAACTGAAACATGACATTTATATATTCCTATAGTACACATACAGATTTGACCATTTTCTCTTATTTTTATCTACCTATCTCTACAATTTCATCTGATTGATTAACTTAACAATGCATGTAGTTCATCAATCAATTTATTTTAATTGTTACATATGTAATATTTTAAGGAAAAACTTGAATGAGGGACCTTAGGCCAAAGAGAGGTGTAATTTTGTAGCTCATAAAGCCAGCCTCAATGAATAGCTTTTCCCATTCTTTCTCAGTTCTCTGCCTTCCAGTAGCTACAACCATCATTGCTACATCAAATATGAGCTTCACTTCAGTCATATTTGCTTCTTCTTCATCTCTATCCAATACCATGTCAATGATAAGAACCTTCCCTTTTCTTCCTTCATTTTTATCCTCGATGGCTTCTCTACATCTCTTTAGTATCTTCACACAATCCTCATCACTCCAATTATGCAACACATGCTGCAAAAAGTAACTGTGTCATGTTCAACATGAATGTTAAGGAAGTTGCAAAGGAATTTCTGAACAATCATGTCATGATATTAAAATCCAAAATCTGTTCCAGCAGTTCGTATACAAAAGCTAGAATCGTGTTACCTTAAACAAAATTGCATCAGCAGAGGGAATTGAATGAAACATGTCACCTCCTACATATTTCAAATTATGTGTGTCTGACATGTTAGCAACAACATGAGGGAGGTCCAACACAGTGCATTTTAGATGAGGAAATGCAGCTAAAATAGTGTTAGCTATAATTCCAGTGCCACCTCCAACATCAACCAAGGAATCCATGTCTTGAAAAACTTCTTTGCAGTCCTTAACAACCAAACACATCATTTGAGAATCACTAGCCATTGCTTCATTGAAAACATTGTTGAATCTTGGATTTTGGTGAAAGAATTCCCACATGGGTGCACCATGTGCTGTCTCAAACGGGGTGGTTTCATTTCCTAGAAGAAACCAATCCCCCAAAGATTGCCATGGATTCACCGAAACAGGATCAACAATTGCTCTAACATAAGGTGACAAATTTGGGATCTCACTCTTCAAAAGCAGCTTAGAAGAAGGTGTAAGAATATACCCTTGCTGATTTTCATCAAGCAATATTGTATTTGTAGTAGCAAAGAATCCAGAGTATACCAATAGGCGCATCAATCGATGAATTGCATCTGATTTTGCAGGAGGTAGTTTCAGCTCAGAAACAAGTTGAGACAGAGTCATTGGCTGCTTATGACTATGAATAACATCTGGTATGCCTAATTGAATTGCACAACCAAGAACCATGGAATTTGCAAAACTGAAGGCATGCTTGTAGATATGAGCCTGACCTTGAAACATCCATTCTTTATCAGAATCTACCTGCTCTTTTTCATCTTAAATAAATAGAGTATAAACTTTTAATTGCTACACAAAGATAGTGATGCACTTGTAGACAGGGCCGGACAAAGGGTAAAGCCAATAAGTCAACTGATTTTAATTTTGGATAGTAGTAATACACTTATAGGTTAAAATTGAGTATCTTAATTGTAGTTTAACTTGACTTTGTGTTACTTGTCATCATCCTTTGTATGATAAAGTAACACCATCCAATACCAGCAGGGACTAATTCAACTACTTCATAATTTATAGGATCTTTTTTCCTCCACTGGCTTCCTTAGATTTTGGACTGGATTCTATCTATTCATATCCTCAGCCTTTTTTCTTTGTAGTGAGAAATCAATCAACCCTTCTATCCCTATAGAGTTCAATTAACTGCTCATTACTTTGTTGGGATGGTACTTTGCATCATAAGATCTTGACTCTTCCTTTTCCTATGATTTTAGTGGACTAAGACTCAGAATATTGGTGTTTTGAGTGTATTATATGGTTTAATTGCAAAGAGTATGTCTAATTACTTGTATTGCACAATGCCTAAGTCTTCTAAGAAGAGAATTTGAAGAACGAATGCAGAATCGAATATAAGTCTTTAAAAGGAGCAACTACAACAAAATGTTTTCATTAATGCAGTTCGCAATTCGTATACACTAGAAAGCAAACTGAGAATTGATAAAATACTCGAATCTTGCAAGACGTTAGCTTTCCAGTAGAAAAAAAAAGTGATCTCAGACATGGAGGGATTTAAAGACAAACATATAGATAAAAGTATCCTAACAACTTAAGCTTTAACATACAATTCAACAGAAACAATGTTATGAATTCCAACCTCGGACAGTGCTTCCACAGTTCCACTCACACAGCCACAGAGACTAAAGGAGATTGGGTGGAAGCACAGGGAAATTGATGAAGGTGGAACACCACAAGTCTGATAGTGAAAAAACATTACAACAGCCGGTCTAATGGGTAATGTACAATGCGATGGCACTAGAGGTTCCAATAACACAAGGAGAACAAACACGAAAACAATATGAAGACATAACGGACGTGGAATGTATACCAGCACTTCACAGCCACTGCTCTTTAAAGCTAACATTACACCCCTTGGAATTGGCTCGTCTCAATGAAATTGTAGCATTGTCTACCGATAGAGGGGAATCAAGGTTAGGATATAATGAATTCCAAGCTTCCTGACCTGCAGATGGACATTTTAGGATCCCTTTTAGAGGCCTTTTTGACAAATAGGCTGCCTCCTTGGAATCATTTTTTGCAAAAAAGACTAAAACATCCTCATTGGAATCATCAATTGCGCTAATCTCTTTAGCCTTGCCATAAGCAGAACCATCTCCCGACTTATCCTCACTAACTTTGACTAGGAAAAGATCCTCACCCGAACCAAATTCACCACCACTTATACGGGGAGAGGCACCATCATCTAAGTTACATTTACTACCTTTGCCTTGCACACGATCATCAACCATGACGTCTTTTTTATCACCCCAAAAGCCAGCAGAATCATCACAGAAGGTAAATTCTGCAATTTTGGCTTGTTGTAAGTCATTACCGTTTGTACCTTCTTTATGTTTGCTTACAGTTGTGTCAACAAGATATTCTTCTTCCTCTGATGATGTTCGAACAAGAACATCTGTACCTCTTCGCAATGAAGGTTTCTTGTCTCCCTTTTTCCCTTTAGGCAATTTGAACCATCCTTCACTCAACAAAGGCAGAGAAGATAGATTCTTCAGAAATGATGGCTTCTTTGGAGCATCTGACAACTTTTTCTTATCAGGTGTAGTCAATAATGACATGGCAATTACATTGGATATGAAAAGCTGACAGATAGCGCATTTGATTTGCTCATGTCTCTCAAAGGATGAAGCCTCAGTGAGACCTATCATTCTCTTGATCCCAAGAACTTTGCGCGCCAACTCTCCTAGTTCACACTGCTTATATTTGGGATTCTTGAAATACTTGGTGGCAATATAGCCAATGTCTACTTTATCTTTAGTCAAACCTAATTCCTCAAATGGGAATAAATCTTTCTTTTCTGGGATTCCAAAACCAACAAAACGGATCCTCTCATCCGTAAGAAATTTTAGGACAGGATCAGGTAGTTGTTCCCCAGAATGAAATCTGAGGATCAGACAACCTACTCCAAAACACAATAGAACCAAAATTATGGTGGGATCACGAGGGTGGCGCATGACATCAAGGCCAACAACAGGTGGACGAACCCAAACCTTACCTTCTGGAAAAAGAAAATCAATTGCACATAAAGATTCAAACTCTTTGGCCTTATAGGTAATGCCCTCTAATTTAACCTCAAACCTATTAGTTCTCAAATATACCGTGCCAGCCATAGTTTGGTTTGATAAATGAGACGATCCTAGTACTGTTGGATTGGCATGACTATATATAGAAAAGATTAGCAAAAGGATGAGTGTTCCATAGCATATACTATAGAAGGAACAGCTCCCCAAAGAAAATGAGATTTGAACCAATATTGCTGGGTAACCAAGGCCAGAGACAGGCAAGAGGTACATCAAAATGTCACAAAAATGATATTCAAAACTACAAGAGAATAAAGGGGATAAAAGGAAGAGTGATTAATGGATAATCATTAAAATTGGATGGTTCTGCAAAAATATATGACACTTGTAAGGCAGGCTTTGTGTTAGGCAGTTATCAATACATTACCTCCACAAAATCCTAGTCTTTCACACCATGGCAGATAATGATATCAACACTTGAAAACATTTTGCATCTATCCTCAACTCGAGTCTTCAGATACTATCTGTTCCACCAATCCTGACTTTAAGGAGAACAATTAGTGATTCACTTTAATGTCAAAATGCAGGTTTACTATTTCCATTTTCTACATTTTCAGCTCACATATCATTGTTTCCAAAATGTCTTCTAGATAGATTGAGAAATCAAAGTTTGGATTAATATCTGATAATATAACATTCATTTATAACATAGAAACACTATGGTCTATGGACATCTATAGAAAGAATAACATTTGTCCCCCATGATTTATAAACAAAAATTGGGCAGCAATTATTCCAATAAATACAAGAACAATGAAAAGAATGACAATTCAATAATTAATACTGATATGAAAAGAGCATTCAAAAGGACACCATATTTGATAATTCATTAGAATACTTTCATTTCAACTACATCTCCAGAATCGAGTAAATTCTGAATCAAAATACACTGGAAACTCTAAACAACAATCTACCATTGATTCTTTTTTTCCAACTAATAGCTACCATGAATTCACATTTATGCCCTCTCACCCCTAATTCTCCTAGCAAGTTGGATATCCTTAGGCATGATAGTAACCCTCTTAGCATGAATGGCACACAAGTTAGTGTCTTCAAACAAACCAACAAGGTAAGCTTCAGCAGCTTCCTGGAGTGCAGCAACAGCTGAACTCTGGAAACGGAGATCAGTCTTGAAATCCTGAGCAATCTCACGAACCAAACGCTGGAATGGGAGTTTACGGATCAAAAGCTCAGTTGACTTCTGGTACTTACGGATCTCCCGAAGAGCCACAGTTCCTGGCCTGAATCTGTGAGGCTTCTTCACTCCTCCGGTGGCCGGAGCTGACTTTCTGGCAGCTTTGGTCGCCAATTGCTTCCTCGGAGCTTTTCCTCCAGTGGATTTTCGGGCGGTTTGCTTGGTACGAGCCATTTGGGAATTAGGGTTTAGAAGATTCGGTGGAACGAGTTAGAAGGTTTTAAGAAGTTCTTGAGATTTTGAATGTGATGGTAATGGAAGAAGAGAGGAAGGAGAATTTAAAGAAATTTGAGGGAAGGAGGAGGAGTGATCTTGACCGTTGATGAATTGAAATTGAATGGATGGACCAGATTTGGGGATTGTTTGGTGTAATGGATCGATGACGTGGAGGAGTCAAAAGTGATCTTGTGCGTTGGTTACAAAGTGAATGGGTGCACAATCTACGGTTGTGATTGGTTTATAGCATGCTTAAGTTGCGGATCGATGACATGGACAGTTTTGTGCTTTGTGAATAGGTGGGGTAATCAGGCACGTCAATTCCATTTACATCTACGGTTCACATTTCCCAAGGGTTTTTGGCACGGATGATAAACATAAAATGTGCATGATGTGATTCCAGCGCAAATTAGGATTTGATTTTTCACAAGTAATGTTTAAAACTGGCATAAAAACTACTTATGGCTTGATAATAAATTAGATTTCAAATATAAAACTATATATATATATATACATATATAGTTTCTGTGTGAATTATCTTTTCGCTTCCTCTGGTTCACCCTAGGACATACAAAAGCTTTGTCTCCAACTTTGTAGGATACCTAGCTCTTTATTCTTAAGTGATTAATTGAAGGTTCTTCATCTATGTTACTTAAATTGGAATCTGGATAAATTAATCACTCAAAAAAAAGAGCTAGGCATTATGAAAAGTTGGAGTTGAAGCCTCTGTGTGTCTCGAAGTAAACCCTAAATTCAGAGTTTGCAGTCTACTGTAACAAAAATAAATTGATCTGGAGGTAATCGGAAAACGTATCGCAGAGGCAAAAGGATCGCCTTATGAGACCACTCAAGGCTTTGTGGTGGAAGAATATTTTACACGAGTTAGATATAGATTAAGATTATGTACTAACAATATATGAATCAACAAATCAAAAAATGTAGTTAGAATAAACAATCTATATTCATAAGTTTTTTTTTTTTTCAAAATATGTTAGCATTTTATTCATCTTCAACTCCGATACATATGATTTGAGGTAGCTGCTCGACTAGAAATTTTCCTTTCTAATGAAATTTGGCATAGCCTACCTAGATAAATTCGAGATAGGTAAATACATACCTATATTATGTTGATGTGTAATGTCAAGTTTGTATTGTTACTTCATGTGTGAGCCCAATATCCTTACAAAAGTAGTTCAAACATGCAAATTTCATACTTCAAAGAGTCAAAATAGTACATTTTAATTAATTAAAAATTAAATATATTATATTATATATCATAACGATCAAAATCAATTTTGTTTAATAACCAAAAATCTAAAAGTGAATGATAATAGTAACTTAATAGTAAAAAGGTCAAAGATACCGATTGAGAATATATGTAAAATTGAATAACTTTATACTATGTTTGAATGAGATAAAATCATGACTTGCCTTATTTCGATCTCATATTAAGCGTGAGACAACAATAATCTTTTTATTTAACTAATCTTAAAATAATTAATCTCGAGATAATTTGTTCGGTGTCAAAAAAGGGCCATAGAACGGAAAGACAATTTTAACCCTTATTCCATGGAATTTATCATTTCCAAACACCCCCAAATCTTTGATTTCGAATTTTTCTGCCATCCACCAATCATCATCGGAGAGAAGTCAACGAATCACACACCGTAATAATATTGATTATTGATTATCTGCCGTCAAACATGTTCACAATTTTATAGGAGTTTGTATTCAGGCAGACATTCTAGCTTCCATGAAAGAACCTTCACTTTAACCCCACACGCATTTTAGCTTAT